CCCTCCCTCCCTCTCTCTTTGGTTTTTCGAGTCAGGGTTTCTCTGTGTAGCTTTGGAGCCTATCCTGGAACTCTCTCTGGAGACCAGGCTGGCCTCGAACTTACAGAGATCCGCCTGCCTTTGCCTAATGAGTGCTGGGATTAAAGGCGTGGGCCACCAACGCCCGGCTAGTCTTTTTCTCAACAGAGAAACTACCCAATCCCCTGGTAAGTTTTTATATAAAAATGTGTAATTATAACCTAAGAGTCTCAAAGAAGTTACGTTATAATTGGCATTGGAAACTATCAGAGATTACTTCAGAACCTAGGAAGATCATTAACAAATAATTCAAAATGAGCAAATATTTTAATATTTCTTCAAAATGAACTCCAGGGACAGTTTCTGATTAGATGTTTACTGTCAAAATGATTTTTTCATAATTTAAATAGGATTTTGTTGAATCAGAATTATTTTTAAGTATGTTCTATGCATAAAATGGAAACTCACCTGTGAGAGGTGAAGGAGATCCCACTGGTGTTGATGGGTTTGATGGAAAACTACTGCTTGTATGGTCAGGAGAATAAATCTAACCAGAAAAATAAGAGATACATATGCATCAGAATGTGATAGAAGCAAAAATACAAATTCATTCATGGAGCTGTTTTAGTGATCTCGGTCACACTACTCCAAGGCTCACAATGAAAAAACATTTTATCATACTGTACACTATTTTGTCACTAGATACCAAAGTAGCCTCAGTTCTCAAACTAGGATAAAAATATTGCATAATTTCAAATGTGAGAGGAACAACACAGAAATATATTTAATTATTGTGGTTAGAATGTTTCTAATTATCAGTAGAGAATCAAGATGTAAGGTTGGGTATGGGTGCACCCCTGCAATTATCAATACCTGAGCGGCAGAGGCAGGAAGATAACAAGTTCAAAGCCAGCCTGGGCTAAACAGCAATAACAGGCTGTGACTAGTACTTGGGAGGCAGAGGTGAGACTGAAACTTTAAGGTCCCATATATGAGGTGAGTCTTTGCCTCAAAACAAACTATTGTAAAGTTAAAATATCCGAGAAGAAAATCTTTAAAGAATATACCATCTAAGTAATATAAAAATGATAATCTCACACACACACAAAAAAAACCAAACTATAAAAGAACAAAGGCAGGGTCTCCTAGGTTGTTTTGTTATTGGTGTTTTGAGTCAGAGTCTAGGTTAGGTAATCAAGATCCCAGCAAGCTCAGACGGACCTTAGACCTAGAATTTGTGATCCTCCCAACTTAGCCTGCAAGGTCTGGTGTTGCAGGTGTTTCACTCCAAGCCTGGCCATTATGCATTAAAATGGTCTTTAAACCAGGTCTGGTGGTGTAGCAGTTGGGAGGAAGAGGCAGGTGGATCTCCGAGTTTGCAATCAGCCTGGTCTACAGAGTGAGTTCCAGGATGGCCAAGGCTACACCAAGAAATCCTGTTTCAACAACAACAACAAAACAAACAAAAAAACAAAACCAAAAAACCCCACAAAGCAAACAAACAACAACTTTGAAAACCAGGTGAGATTTTATGTTTTCCCTTTAAAAAATTGAACTAAAGAAAATTAACAGTTATTCCTTACTCCTTCAAAAAGTTACTCATCTGTTTTAGCTCCAATGATTGATTGTGTATTAAATTAAGCTTCTCTCAAAGGAAACTAAACTTCTACAAACATGTCTCAACACCTTTATCATTGTGACTCACTGTTTCTTATGTTCAGAAATCAATTGTATCTTTCACGAGCAACCAACGCTAACTTCATAAAGTATGTAATACATCATTGAAGAGGGAGGGAAGGAAGACTGATTACATTGAAGGTGAACAGGTACATGAGAAAATATCCACAAAACTGCATTGAGATTAGTTTGCCTTACTGACCATTACTCTTCACTGTGAGAACCAACTGCAAAAGCCCTGGAGAAACAGCATCCTGTGTAGCAGCTGGCAGCTACTTGTTCTCTGCTGGTGCTTACAATGTATCCCGAGCTATCCATTATCTGTCTCCTACTCTCAATGCTTGCTGTGCTGACAAGTGATGAGGGAGGGTAGAAATGGCAGAGCCTGTGCTAGGAATTCTCAGTGGAGGGACTTTTGGGCTTCAGGTTTATTTATGTTCCATCTCTTCTACTCTTCCTTCCCTTAAAGGTTTCGCTGAAGTCCTAAGTACCCTTTACTTCTCTAGTCACCTGGTAATGACATTCTTTGTGCCACCACACATCCTGGTGAATGACTCCTGAACTGATCTCTCTTGCCTGGACAGACTGAATAGAACACATCTGAACCTGAATCACCACTCTGCTTCCTGTCCTCCCCCCCCTTTTCACTTCTTTCCCTGTATTTTGGTGTGTGCGCCCCCTTTCTTTGGCCTGGCTCTTCTCTTTGTAGACACCAACATTCACAATTCTCAGTTTCTGGGATAGGTATACACCATTCTCATGCCACTTTAAATCTAGATATGCAAGTGTGTGGAGGCTACAGGACAACCTCAGGTGTTGTTCCTCAGGAGTTCTCCACCTTATCTTTTGAGACAGGATCTCTCATTGTCTTGGACCTCTGGCTGGCCAAGCCCCAGGGATCCATTTGTCTTAATCCCAGTGTTGAGACTTGTTTCTAAGACAGGGTTTCTCTATTTTAACAGCCTTGGCGGTCCCAGGTCTGGCTCTGTAGACCAGGCTAGCCTCTGCCTCCCTAGTGTTGGGATCAAAGATGTGCGCCACCACCTCCTGGCTCCAGTGTTGGGATTTAAAATGAGTGATAAAATTTGCTATAATACTTGTCAGTGGAAAGATTATTCAAAAGGTGGAATGTATCTTAGTATTTAGGCAATGGGAATCAGTAACAGAAGAAAGTGAAAGAGCTGTTAGAGATGACTTCATTCCAAATCTACAGCATGCCATAAACTTTGAGAACAATTACATGGTGAGGTTCTGTGATTGGTGAGAATTACTGTTAATGTTTCCGGCTACATGTATCTCACACTTAGGTAGGCATAGGCTTTCTAGGGTGTGAAGAATGGATTGCCAATTCTTTCAGCTCTGACCTTTCAGTGAAGTAATCCCTAAATACGTCATATGCAGGTGAGAGTTCCTTTAAGTCAAAGAAAACAGGGGTTACACTTGAGAGTCACATATGATCACTATTTTGAGTGACAGGAGATTGTTCTGATCATATACTCAAAACAGGGGTGAGCTTTTGAGAATCATGGTGTAAATAGGAGAAGCTATACTGAAATGTATCTTTTCCAAAATTTGCTTTTCCATTTTTACAACAGAAGCCATTTTTACCATTTACCCATTATACCTGTGGTTTGATGCGATACCAGACAGAATTGCTATTCATGCTTCATCTACACTTAAAAAGGGGGGGTGTGGGAGTTGAGAAAGATGGCTCAGAGGATAAGAACTGGCTGCTCTTCCAGAGGACCTGGTTTCAATTCTTATCACCCACATGACAACTCAAACTGTGAGTCTAGTTCCAGAGGACCCAACACCTTCACACAGACATATGCAGGTAAACACCAATGAACATAAAATAGGAAATTGTCCTCCTCTGACCTCCACATTTGCATCATGGTATGTTCATGCTTCCTACCCCCCCCCAAAACAAAACAAAAAACAGCTGTTTTACTCTCACAAAGAGAACACTCATGTACAGAGGAAGACTAGTACACTGGTACACTGAAGCCTTTCAGATGGCAGGTCATTTCACCAGTCTCTATCTCTGCAGGCACATTCTATCACCAAATCACAACTGAATTACATTATTTCAGAAAAATCATGATTCTCTTAGAAATCCTAAACACCAGGATTTTTTTTTGGCAAAGAACATTCTAAATGAAGATCTCTTTGCTCTATTTTTTAGCTTTAACGAACTCTAATATTGGTGTTTAAAGAAGAAAAAAGTCACTTTAAAAATGGAGGTGGCAATGACTTAAGAGTCTAGAGAAGAAACAAAGTCAGAGCTCATTCTACATGCAGCCCACAGGCACCCACGGTTAAATGGCCAATGATGAATAACTCCCAGTACCTTCTGCCAGGCTTAAACGGTAATATTCCTCATTTTACTGCAACAAATGAGGCTCCTCCTCCTATCAGTCATGCTCCATTCCAATCAGTAGGGTGCCAATAAAGCCAGAAGCTAATGAAAAGAGCCTTAGACAAAAAGAAACAATGGAGAGCTCCAGGCCCAACCCTGGAACTGAGAGACTAAGGTTTTTAAACACTGAAGCTTTTGCACATTTCAGTTAATCTTTATTATGCTAATGTTATTGAGTCTAAGGAACAAAGAAACTTATTTCATGAATTACTTCTAAACGTCAACTTCCCTGGATTTTCTTTTCTTTTGTTAGAGACTACTGACCATTTAACTATCTAGATTAACACACACATTCTCCCTCTCTTCTTCCCTCCCTGGCTCATAGAAATCAAAACATAAATTATCACAAAGAAGTCTGATATAATCAACAAAGTTAAACAGTCCTCTCGTTTGATCTCTTCTAAATTAAAGACTGAATGTTTTGATATGGTATTAGGCACTGAAATAAACCAGATGTTTCTTCCTCCATATAACTCTCCATGGGCACAGTCTTAAAGGGTGATTGTCTGGCAAACGTTCAGGGACACACAGATTTTTCCTTTCCTTCTATCTACCCATGTCTATTATCTAAACTAGTGCACAATCCATAGGGCTTTGGGGACTTTGTGTAAATACCTTCATGTACAATTCTCTTTCTTGCTATCCTGAGATTAAGACCACAATTATCCAGGCTTAAACCTAAAATAAAGGAACCTTTGCAAACGCATTATCTGGCCTTACATGTTTAATCACGCAGTATTCTGTGTGTTCTTTAATACCTAAACTGAAGAACAAAGGTTGTACCCTCTGGTGTTTCACACATGAAAGACCTTCTAAGGCAATTGGGGAACTAGAATTAACTTCTAATGACAACAACAGTGTTTTCTCATCAAAAGTGGATGCTATATTACATTAAAGATACCACATTCTAACCATCTATAATACCAAACATAAAATTGTGATATGCATGTCAGGTTCTCAGATGTAATTCTCATTAAGTTTCTTCCTCTCATCTCCCCTAATTCTTCCTATCACCAAACAACCCACTGTTTTTGCTTTTGAGTACATTTTAAACATTATTTATGAGAGCGTCTATTAGGAAAATTGGAGAAACAATGTTGTTTGGGGAGATGGAGGGAGACTGAAGGAAGGGATAGAAAGTGTGCATATGAGGGTCTGCAGTGATGGAGCAGATGGAATGCCTCACTCTCAGCTATGACAGAAATGATTTATGGAATGACCTGGCTGTTCTTGCCTAGTAACAACACAGGATGACAGAGCTGAGTTTCCATGACAACCAAAGCCCACCCACTAGCTAGATTAAACATTTTTTCCTGGCTTCCACTCAGAGTGAATTTGGATTTTTTTCTACAAATGCCACCCTGGTCTGGCTAGTATGCTGTTCATAATATGGAAGGAAAATCAAGGATGTCAGGGTAACTAAATTAAGCTTGAAGGACCTCTGAGAATACCACAAAGTCTTGTCTACCCAAACAATGATTTCTTCATATATGCTTTCCTTGAAATACCCAAAAACCTGTGAGAGAGAGAGAGAGAGAGAGAAAAAAAGGACTCCCAAATGGAGGTTTTATTTTTAAATTTTGTTTAATATTAAGAGTCCAATGTTACTTGTCCTCTTACATATGAATGACCTATCTGCTACTGGTTCTTCTAAAATGAGGAGGAACATAGCAAGCCAATCACATACCAAAGAGCAATTTTCTTCCTATACACGAAGTTTTCTTCAGGGAATACATTTAGAAAAAAGGAGGGACAACTCTCTTTAATCATCCCAGATACTCACTTCTAAGACAGTCCTTGTAACACAGCTTTCTAGATACCCAAAGCAGCAGAGAGGAGCAGTCTGTGGCTAGTTAGGTAGGGATTCTATTGTATATGAGCTCTACCTTTACTAGCTAGTGGTCCCTAGGGCAAACTACTTAATCTTTTGAGCCCAAGTCACTTAACCTTTAGACCTCAGTCCCCCAACCTGTAATGTGGGGGTATAATACCAATCTTATAGGGTTTTCTTGAGGATTAAATGAAATAGGGCATGGGAATGCTTAGTGTAGTGCCAAACAACTAGAAGGCACTCAGACCACAGTTTACCATTTCTGTGGATTTGTACCACCACCATTACAGTCGATCATTTCTGTGGGTTCGTACCGTCACCATTATTACGTATGTTCCAAGATTAAATCCAGCAAACATTTACTGGGCTCCACTGTGTGCAGGGTCCCGGTATGTAGTAGAAGAGTTTGACTTGGCTTCATTTCTCAAAAAAACTCATACTTACAGCTATAGAGAAAGGTTTATTTACTCAAACAATACATAAAGAAGTTTCTTTCTTCAGGAGCTTAACAGCTGCTCACATATCAGAGTTCTACTTTCCCTATCAACAGCAAATGTTTGAGAAAGTTCATTGTATTTCAGAGAAAATATAAGACAACTCTGGAATTCTAACAGGCTGACCGCTCAAACTAAAGGAAGAGGGGAAAAAAAAAAAAACAAGTATAAGGAGAAACTTCACAAGGCAGAAGGCATAATTTAAATTTGAGTAATTAGATTTGAGTCTTTACAGATAATTAATAAATACCTGTCTCTCTTTCTGGCTTTAGGTTTCCAAACTAATTTTAACATTTTAGGAGTCAGATATATTAAACTGTTATCATTGTTGTCTCTATGATTTTGATGTGATAAACACTAGCTATATCGTATTATAAAATGTCTTTGACTCAGTTTCATTCATTTTAGAACAAGTCTTTCAATGATTCTGAGCCCCACCCCTTTGGAGCCTGTCCTGGAACTTACTGTGTAGACCAGGATGGCTTCGAACTCAAGAGAACCGCCTGTCTCTGCTTCCCTAGTGCTGGGGTTAAAGGCTTGAGCTACCACTACCCAGCTGATTGTTTTTTCCTAATAAATAAAAGTATATCCCATCTTGTGAAAACCCTTATAAAGGCATTTCATTCACTGTAGATGAATTGGATTTTCTTTCTTGGTTCCTTTTGATTTATTTAAGTGGGTCACTTGAGTGTTTAAAATACATATATTTCCTCAAATTCCTCTTTGTTTTATCTGTATCTGTTCCACTCAAATAAAGACATATTTAAATGAAACTACAAATACTGTAGGTATGGAGCAGGGTGGTGTTATCATGAACTACTTTAATGGTATGCACCAATATAAACAGAAAACAGCTCTTAAATGAGTAATTATGTTAATAATGTAACTATGCCATTTACTGTTCACAAAATATAAACCCTAGTTCATCAGTAGAATGTGTACATAATACTTACAGACGCCAAAGCCTTTCCAAGCGCATCACCCGTCTGTGAGCTTCCAGCAGCATTCCCTCTGGCTCCTGGATGGTTCAAATAGGTAAACAAAACAAGAAGACTAGCAGGAATGCTACTTTTTTTTTTTTTTCTTTTTCTTAAGCATGTACCTATTACTTCAAGGGTACCCTGGCTTGAGACTTCATATATCACTTCGAATCAGGAAACACTCTATGTGCAAATTAAACAAGCTATAAAAATAAAGATGAGTTCCATATTGATTCTTGTATTAATGAAACTTAAAGGTTAATTATCTACTTTCATTTTTATTTAAACTAAACACTAAAAATTTTATTGAACAATATGGGTTTCAGCAAAACTCTCAAATTAGGATTAGGAAGTTTCCCAACCCAGAAAGCTCACCTAGAATGCTATCTGATCCATTGATGGGAGGAGTATGGGAGGCGGCAACATACGGTGAACTGCTGGTACTGCCACGGTGGAAGCTGGACATTGGCGGAAGACTTGTGTTTATGTCTGTAGGTGACACTGAGTGTGGAGGATAATTCTAGAAGGGAAAAGAGACATAATCTATTATAGGTTTTCTGAAGGCTGGGGATATTGCTTAGGCGTAGAGCACTTGCCTATCATGCATGAAGTTTCAGTCCTTAGTTATGTGATGCTCCCCTCCCAGAGAGATAATAAATAAAAAAATTGAAAGCATGCATTTTTTTGAATATGAATGTAGACTTATCCCCGACAATCTGTATAAAAGGTTAAAATGAGCATGACATATGACAAGTTAGCACCTAGTATGGCAGGGCAGTCACAATGAAAAAAGTCATGGTAAAGTAAGCTTGTAAATAATTCAACATTCAGAAGTTTTGGCATAATTGATTTTTAAATAAAAAAAAGAAATATGTAAGGACAAAATATTGTTTGATAGCCTACCAAGCGGTCATGTGAATGAAGGCTGCCATAACTACTGGACTGAGACATGTGGGAAGTTGAGGTCCCCAGAATTCCACTAAAACCAGGCTGGCTCATCCCGTTTGATGAACTCCAAAGGTCAGAAGAACTGTGGGTCCCATCTATGATAAAAAGAAAAATAAGAGTTTTCCTTAGCCAGAATTTTTTATTTTGAATATGTACAAAAACTCCAAAGGATATAATGATGATCGACTTCAACTGTTCAGTTGCAGATGATCTAGAATCATCCAGGAAAAGTAATTCAGTGAGGGATTGCCTAGATCAGAGGCCGAGGGCACATCTGTGAAAGGTTTTCTTAACCAGGTTAATGGAATGTGAATGGTACCATTTTGTTGTCTGTGTCCCCCTGAACTATTTAATCGTGAAAAAAAGTGAGCTGATCAAGTAAGTGCACATGAATTCACTTCTCTCTGCTCTTGACTCTCATGTGTTTAGCTGTGTAAATTCTCACTGCCTTAACTTACTTGCTGTGATGGATTGTCACCTTTCTCCAAGTTGCTTTTTGTCAGAGTGCTTTATCATAGCAACAGAAACAAATGATGCCTGCAGATATTATTCCCCCCTTCCAACCTAATATTCTATCAGGTTTTCTACCCTCCTAGCCCCAAAATTGCTATTTAAAAAGAAGTAACTTTTATAGTTAAAGAAAAAACAAAACCAGCACAAACTGTAATAGGTGGATTATTTTAACAATCTTCAAAAAACATTTATTTCATACCAAGAAAGGTAATACAGACTTGAAATCTGGGGGCAAATTGGATTTAATTTTTGGCTAAATGTTCTACCCATAATAGGCAACACACATCATATCACACATTCTGAAAATATGAAATGGAGAAGTTTCTTTCACAGTAAGCCAAGGTAAAAAGGGACAACATTACATAGTGAGGCTTCAAATGAGATGTCAGCAGTGACTTCATCTATGGCACAGTCAAGGAACCATTTATGTAATGATGTACAGCTCCCACATACACACTTTCCACAATACCAAACCACAGGGGACCAAATAAAAATAACCTGTCAGACAGAAATTAGAAGAAATGCAACACCTCTTCTCTCTAACATGTCTCACTTAATTTTTTCTACTTACTCTTTGTAGAACTATAATCCAAACCATAAACCACTACTGTTTCTAGCTTTCATATTTCAACATTCTACCACAAACCATGGCAGCTTTGCTCATTTTTCTGTTAGTAATAGATAATCATTTCAAAGGTTTGTTGGATAAATGAAATTACAATTAGTAATAAATGCCCCTAGAATATTGGATGGAATAGATAGAATTTTAACTGATTTCAGAAAAAATAGTCTTAGAAAAGCACAGTCTGAATTTCTGCACAGCTATCTTTTTTTCTCATATTGAATGCCAGCACACTGCAGCCCCGGCTGGCTCTCACACTGCTGGTAAGTGCTTACCTTGCATAAAGAAAGTGCTAGCAAACATACTGGTTGGTGGCTTGGGAGATGGGTAACTAGGAGATTCGCGGTTGAAATCGTCAGAATTTGGGGATGGTGCATATACCTTAAAACAAAACAGGAGATTAATTAAAATATAAATGATTATTACATTACTTACATAAAATGAGTTCTGTGTCCCACAAAGAACCTAAAAAGGCTCATGTACTAATCTTACAAACAGAAAGATTGCTACATAGGTGACATCAAATTTGGTTACTAACTACATGTTTCTTTTATCTGGTTACTGGAAAATAAATTACTTCAAATATTCATGTATTCCATCTTGTTATGACAATTATAGTAGGTGGTCGAAAAAGGCCTAAAAGACCAGACAGCAAAATGCAATCTTCTAAGCAGCCTGTGTTTTGAAATGCACACAAACTTTTCATTGTTGTAAACTTTATCAATTCAAACAAAGTGAAGATGAAATGTTTCTGGTAAGAGGCAAGTACAGCAACATGGCTCAGTAACTTCCTTAACTTAGGAAATCAAATAAATTCTGCCAAAAGGTCTTAGTTCTTAAATTTTAGGTATACTTCCAATTTTGGCATATCTTTAAGAAAAAGATTACCTAATTGTTAAGGCAGTAATACTTTCCTTTAATGAACATTTGTTCCAGATAAAGAAATTATGGACATTATGAACTATCAAATGGCCAACATTCACAATCCTTGGGAAAACTAAATGGCAAGCCAAATAAACAATGAATGAACTAAGAACACAGCATTCTCAGAACTACTGAATCTTAGAAGGAACAAAACAAAACAAATAATAAGCAGAGTTATGTATGAAGCCTGCATTCCCAGTAACTCAGGAGGACAGATGGCTTCAAATTCAACACTGACCTTGACAAGAGTGAGACTGTCTTAACACCAACCCCACCAACAAAATGTCTTAAAAGGAAAAGGGCCACTGATAGATTGTAAAGTAAACCAGAAGTAAGAAGGCAAAGTGACTAATGTCAGCAGCATAAGAAATTAATTCTTTTTAATGTTAGGAGTATATCCATTAAATTTCACTATAAAAATTAAATTTCACGTAACCAGAGAAAGCATTACCATTATGGAAACATATAAAATCATACACATTGTTTGTACAACCATTGAGATTTTCTGGAATCATAGAAAAAACTTAGCAACAGTTACATCTTAGAGGTGGAGAAAAAGGACAAAGTATGCCATTTTTAAACAGAGCACAAGCTTTTAAACAGTAGTAAGGGACAAGCTGGGGTTGGGGACACAGCTCACTGACAGAACACACCTAGCAAACAAGGCTCTGGGGGTTTTGCTGGTTCTTATATCAAGGTTTGTGGGAGCAATTAAAAAAATTTACAAAACTATCAATTATAAATTCACAAGCTATCAAAATTTATTCTTTCCAAAAGGCACTAACCATACAGATTTCTCAATCTTCCGGAAGCCCAAATTTCTCATTTGTAAGGTGGCTCTATCCTGTACCTCACAGGGGAAGATGAGATGAGGTAATGCATATAAATCAAATATTTAGCACAGTGCTCCTGATAGTACAGGAAGTAGCCAATAAAAATTAGCTGATATACCATATTTCTATCATGCCAACAGAAGAAGAAGTATTGCCACTGGTCAGTTTTTAATGCCATTTGTCATAGGTTTTGTGAGGTTCGACTCTACTCACACTGTACATAAAGGTTAGGAAGTCCTTTTCACATCTTCCTGCTAGTCCTGGTAATATTAGCACACATATTTTGTTTTTGTTTTTCAAGACAGGATTTTTCTGCGGCTTTGGAGGCTGTCCTGAAACTAGCTCTTGTAGACCAGGCTAGTCTCGAACTCACAGAAATCCGCCTGCCTCTGCCTCCCGAGTTCTGGGACTAAAGGCATGCACCACCACTGCCCGGCCATATGTATTTTTAATAGATTGTTTTTCATGTTTGCTTCCTGTCACCTCCTCAAAGTAAAACATATGCCTGTGATACCTGAAATTTTTGGAAGAAGCTAGGAACTTAGGGATTACACAAAAAGATCCTCACAGGAAAGTGTGACACATACATGTGTTTAACAACTTTTCTATTTTAAACCTATCTCATAAAAGATTGCATTAGGAGGATGGAAAAGATGGCTCAGCAGTCAAAAGCACTGGCTGCTCATGCAGAAGACCCAGGTTCTGTACCCAGATCCACATGGAGATTCACAACCATCCATAATTCCAGTCCCAGAGGATTTAATACCCTCTTCTGGACTCCAAGGGCAATGTACAGTCAAAACACCCATATACTTAAAGTAGTAAAAAGATAAAAATAAGCTTTAATAGTGTAAAATAAGAAACACCATGCTAGATTTAAGTAATTGTGTGTGTGCCTTAAAATTTTTTAGGAAAGGAATTTGACTATATTCTTTCTCTTAAGTTTTACCTTCCAAAGGCTGGCATGGTGGTTCACACCTGTCATCTCAAGACTTGAGAGGCTGAAGCAAGAAGACTCCCATAAATCAAAGCTATTCTCAGCTACATAGCAAGTTCCAGGGTAGTTTATACTACAGAGCGAGATCCTATGTTAAATAAGTAAATAGACAAGCAGACAAACAAAATCAACAAAGCTTCAGTTTCTAATCTTAGCAAAACTGGATGTCCTTTGCCCTTCTTTATAGAGAATTCCCCAACACAAGGGAACACCATAAAGAACTGAAAGTAGAGGAAACTTCTAGCCTTTGCTGAGAAATACAAATCAGAATCAAATGTAGAAGACAGTATCAGAACATATGTTTTTCATTACAAACCTATTCTTACTATACATATACTTTATCAGAAATAAGTCTCTAATTTATCCACTTCTATTCAAGTTATAGCCCCAAATATATGAAACTCACACTTGAAAATTATTAAAAAGTTCCAGTTTTGATGTTTCATTTCATGCAACAAAAAGACTTACATAATTTTTCATCTTAAATTTCAAAATAATTTGCTGGTCTACATTTCTTTATCTTTGGTACTTTCAGCTCCTTTTATGTCAAATATGATGTACTTATGATTCAAAACCTTTTATAAGTTTGTCTTTTATGACAAAAGTAAAGAGATATATCTACTTTGATTTACAAATTGCTGCTAAAGAATGAAGGCTAACACACAAAGTGAGGAAACTAAGGTAAATAGAACAAATGAGAGGAAAACATATATATACTTAGTTGCACTTGAAGACTCTGAAATTGAACAGGAAAATGAAGCCTCATATTAAAAGCCAAGTTTGTTTTTAGAGATAATCTCTGTGCACAGATTTTGGGAATAAAAAGGGTTTTTACAAGATAAACAAGGACATAGTGATACACACCTTTAATCCCCACACTGAGTTCCAGGCTAGCCTCGTCTACAGAACAAGTTCCAAGATAGCCAGTGCTATACAGAGAAACCCTGACTTGAAAAAAACCCAAAACAAACAAACAAACAAAAAAACCAGCTCCACCCAAACACCATAAAAAAGACAGATTTCACAAATAAAGATGATACACAAAACTCTAAACAACTTCATTGCTCATATACTAGTACAAGTACATCCTAATAGAAACACTTTGCAGTCTGTGGCTCTCAGAGCCCCTGGCACTATTCTAACTTTGCTTTTGGTTTCTCAGCCATGGCCTGCAAAACACAGATGCAGAGCTACAGACCAGCAGTTGTGCCAGTCTCGAGTTCAGATCAAAGCACAACTGATGTGGTCAGGGAGTTGATTAGCTCCAGATGTGGGGAAACAGCCAGCCAGTTCCACAAAAAGAGCAAGTCTTTCCTTGTTACAATCAGTACTGGCCACAAATTAAAACCAGACTGCTTATGTCATCTGATCACCTGTACATAGATGCCAGGTTTTTTTTTTTTTATTCTAGTTAATGATACATTTAAATCTCAAGGATGATCCTGTAGCACAACAGACAGTCCTAAAATTAAGAAACAGAAGCACTTATGCTTTAAGATATTTAAAATCTACCAGGAGTTAAACTATTTTAAAGATGTTGGAGAAAGGGACAACTAAGTATTTTAAGATATTCTATTTAATCTCTAGACAGGAATTTGCTTAGAATTGGTTTCAGAAAGTCAGGCACAGCCAGCTATTGCAGAGGTGCTATTTTGCTGTTAAGGCGTTAAGGTACATTTTCAGTATCTGCTGAACAGATAGTCCTAACTCAGAGCACAACTGAAACAAAACCCACACTTCTTTTCTATCATCATTAAGTCTGGTTGAAGAGAACAAACTCTTACTAATATCTTAAATGTTCTCAGCCCACATACCCCAGGGTAAGTTAAAAAAAAAAAAAAAAAAGACATCACAGCACAGCACACTTCAAAGATATCTACAACAGTGACTATGCAGTTAACGCTCAGAATGTTTTAGTTCATGAAACCAACCTGGCAAAGACAGAATCCTCCCCACCTTGGATGAATCAGTTGAGACATATGTATGACCCCAAATTTGGGGCAGAGAACTCTGGAGGTTGGCAATGTGCACTGCATCTCTTTTTCAATGCACCCTTTTTGTAATTAATATTGGAAACAGCCCTGCACAACAGCATAATAAGTCTGGTAACTACTGAGAAAAGATGCAAAGTAAATAAATCAGAAGCTTTAGCTAAAAAGAAAAATAGATGCATCTGATGGCTGGTATTTGTAAATAGCTCAAATGACAAGGAGGGGGTGAGAATTCTTTTGGATGTGTGACTATTAAGGAGACCTTTCCCAGAATATGAGAATACCCTCAGATGGTAAGGAAATGCTATCTTATTATGTATCATGCAATGCAGCAGCCATTGTTCAGTGGCCACCTTAGATGTAGATGGTACGAAAAAGAAATAGAATTTTACATTTCGTTTTCTTAATTTAACTACCACACATGGGTAGTTTACCCAGAAGTTAAGAGTACACAAAATATTTTGAAAGCAGCACTTTGAAATCTTACACACTCCAAGGCCTATGAAAAAGCAACCCAAATTCTCAAAACATTTTGCAAACTGTCATCTAATTAGGAATAAAGAAACATGGATGGCTGGGTGTGTGGCTAAGTGTAGAGCACTTGTCTAGCATGCCTGAGGCCTGGGTTGGATCAAC